AAGGGACAAGTTTACAGAAGTTAAATTACTCTACTAAAGTCTTATAACTGGATAGTGGTGGAATCTGACTGCGAGTTTAATCTTTAGTCTAATTTGTCATCTTGCCACTGGAGTAGAAGAGTACAAGAGAAAGTCAGGGTCCCAAGGATGGAAAATAATGGGTGGACAGATAAGAAAGGAAGTTGCTAGTGAAGAGGTCTGAGAAGGAGGTCACAGGGTAGGTAAAGGGCTATGAAATTCTCTAACCAGATCAAATGCATTTTGATGGTAGAGACTTATATTTTACATACTTTTAGATAAATATGAGATTCTTCTTTTGACCCTGACTCTAACAAATCTATTAAGTGCTTTGTTACTGATATTTTGATGTTCTGTCAATAATTTTCTTGCATACCTTTGTCTTTATGAGTCAGATCACACCAGCCCCTGGGTCATTACCTGTATGGACCAGGGGCTCAGTCACTGGAGCGCCTCAGTATTACACTATGATCGCCTTCTCTAGTGGCAACAGAAGTAGACTTGGTACCTGCTTGCTGTAAATACCACTTCAGATCACTGCTCCAATGGCAAGCAAGTCATTTGTACTTGTGTTTGAGTTTTTGCTTGAATTGTTTATTTAATGGGAGATAGATCATTTTTATCATTCAACCATAGGACTTTGTAAAATAGAAATAGGACCAATCCTTTTCTTTGCAGCCTGAATATCTAATAGTTTAGCAGAAAAAAATGTAGTGGAAGTCTGATCCATGATTTTAGGAAAAGCATGGACACAGGAGCTATGGATTACAATTCTCTTTCTGTCACTTTTTATTTGGGACTCTGAGAAATTCATTTAAATCCTTTGAGCCCTGTTTTGCTCATTATAAGGAGGCAGTGCCTGCCAGAAGGGTGATTATGAGGATCAAATATTTTTAAAGGACAAAGAGTACCTGGTAGAAGAAAGTTAAACTCATTACTTCCTCTCATTCATGCTGGGTAGGTAAGGAAGAACATGAGTCCCAACTCAGTCACATCTGTCCAACACAAGTGTAGTAAGTTTAGCTGTGGAACATAATTCTAGCTGGCAATAAATGTTATTGCAAATGGCTTAAGGCATAATATGGTTTCACTAACATGTATGAATGGAGAGTTCAAAAACTTACTTGCAATCAGTTTCTGATGATAATCAGTAGATATTCTATTATTGTTTCTCCCCCTCTCCCAGGGGAAAAACCCAACATCAATTTCTCACAGACTAGAATATATTCATTTCAAGTGCTTCCCACACTGAATCCATCTCTCTCTAAATCATCTAAAAGTTGCTTTGCACTTCCAGACAACGGCTGCATTCCTAAATCAATTCTAGGTGTAATTCCCATTACAAGTCAGCACAGGTTTCAGATGGATAAAAGGAGATGTCTTTGAAGACAACAGAGGAATGAGCTGCAGCCCTAACTTGGCAGACCTATTTATTAACATAGTGATTTAGGAGATTTTTCAAATGCCACTGTTAGATTTAGATCTAATTTGAGATCTCTAACCCTCTGCGTCAGGAATGAATGTTCTTTAGGACAGCCCTGGCTGGTTCCTGTTGTTTGAAGTAACTATTAATAATGCCCCCTTTCTCTCAAGAGACTCAGTTTGGGTGATAAATTACACAGTCATCTCTTAATAGACTTTTGCAGGCAAAGGCTTGTGTCTTTTAGGATATATTCCTAATGTTAAACAAAGAAAAATTAGCTTACTTTTCCTACAACTAAGCTTTTGGGACTCTATCATGCATTTCTTTAAGTATTTCTTTGATGCAATAATTAAGAGCTCACATAAGCTAATGAATAACTCCCTGTGGCTCTCTTAATAACAAAAGCAAATAAACTAACTTTACAGGAGCTCACCTAACTCAGCAGCCCTGGGAGGGAAACACCAGGGATTGTCCTTTAAGGTTTATATTTGCAAAGCTATTTCTAATTATCTTAATTAATTTTTCCATTTAATAAGTGCAAGCTTATATACTTCCATTGGCCAACAAGGGAATCAAGACTAGGAGAAGCCTGCTGCTGTGCTTTCTGGGATAACACTCCAGGCATTAATGTGGAGCACATTAATGTGGTCTCACATCTCACATGCTTTTGGCAGACTTGAGTCACCTGCCTTTCTGTTCTTAAGGAGAGGGTGTATTGTGAGTTAACAAAATGAGGATAGTGAGAGTATAAAAATATTGACAGAGATACATGAAGGATTACTGTGGAGCACAGGTTTACGTGGTGCAGTGTAGACATGGGAAGGAGGAGCAAATTTCAGGTTCAGAGATGTAGGTTTTACTGAACTGCTGGTCTTGGAGTGCTCACCATGCCACTTTAGTCTAAAGGATTTAAAAATGTAAACTGAGAGTAATTTTTTCCCACTGTGAAGAATTATCATGAGACCGGAGTGAATGCCTTTGGAAACAAATTGCACATACTTCCTACTTAGTCACAGAGCCTATTCGCCATGCTTGGCCACTGTCTCTAAGACTGATCTGCCCAGAAAGGCAATGAAGCTGCAGCTTCAGAACCCCTTCCATGGACCTAGACCTCCAAATTTTGTATTCTTTTGCTTAAAGAGCCCACTTCTCCCAGTTATATAAGCTTGGGGTCCCAGAAATCCTGATTCTTTACTTGTCTATCCCACGTCATAAATCTAAAGACTTGGTGTTCTAATTGTACTCCTGATCAGAAGGGAAGACCAGGTAAGGGTAAACATGACTCAGCTTGCACCCAGCTTGGGAAAACAGGCTGGGGCCTGCAAAGAAGTTGGGGTAGGTGTAACATTGACGGCCAGCTCAAATTTCTCCCCTTCTTCTAGTTTCTACACCATTCACTTCTTGCCTAAACCAAATTGTTTTTTAGATCTACAGAACTGGGATTTTAAGACCTGGTAAATGTCCTATTTTGTCACCATCCCTTAATTTTTCAGGTACTCAGAAGGGCTTAAGTACCTCCAATTCCTGAATGCTCCTCTCTGAAGATACAGTGTTGGCTAATTCCTTAGGCAGATAAAATATTTGTCTTACCTGCTAGATATAATCTGCCTGGTGTGTCCCTGTGTGGGTGGGAAGTAATAAATGAAGCCTCCCTATCTAAGTACTTCAATAAAACAGAATAGTTGCCACTCTACACACTTTCCTTTAGTGTCCATTATGAGAAAAGTCTCTGAATTGTCCTCTGAGAGGATGAAAAAGACAATACCAGTCTATAGCATTTAAAACTTGTCCCTCAAAATGAGACCTGGTGAAACTATTCTGGGAATGGAGGGAGGGGAGATAAAGAAGAATGATGTGGGCAGGTGAAATCAACGATTATATATACTAAGAACTTTTGCAAATGTCACAATGTATCACTAATACAACAACAATAATAATAATAAACCTTGTCCTTCATTTCACATTGAGTTACCATTTATTAGCACCTAATTGAACCTGACATTTTATTTATATATATAATATATATAAATATAATATTATGCACAATGTTGCATATATACCATATATGTTATCTAGTCCTCTCAACAACTGTGAAATGGATGTGGAAAACAAGGCTCAGAGATGTTATGTGTTGTGTCCAGGTCACACATTTGGGTCATCTTTCTGCTTGTGAGAGGCTCCTGGCGGCTGAAGGTCAATGTATGTAATGTCGGAGGAAGAAGGCACAAAGATCATCCCCTGTCTCATACAGGCCTAAGTTTAAATTCAGGGTCTGACACTTCCTACCTATGTATGGCCTTGGGAAGGCTGGTCTTTATCTTGGTTTCCCCATTTGTAAATTTAACAAAATTCCTCACTTCATAAGGCAGTTGGAAAGGTGAATGAGATAATGCGGACTGAGCTCCATCCCAGCACATTCAGGTACAAAACAACTCACTTTGGTTTGGATGCTCATCCCCAAAACCTGCATGCCCACTTTCTCACTGCTTCAGGTCCTCACTACTCAGTGAGACTTTCTCTGACCACCCTGGCTAAAGGCACCGCACCTCTCTATTACCCCTCTTTCCTGCTTTATGTGTACTTTGTCCAGGCCAATAATCTTTATCTCTACTATTACTTCTGTGTAATCCCAAACACACGGAGCTGTGCATGACACAAGGTCGACACTTAAGGTATCTTGATTAATTGAGTGAAAAAATAGTCCTAAGCATCTGAAAGACCTAGGTTTGAAGGTAGTTTTTTCTTTATTAGCTATTTGGTGGTTCTGGGGTTTGAACTCAGGGCTTTGAGTTCAAGGCAGGTGCTTTACTATTTGAACCACGCCCTAGCCTTTACCAGCTATTTGACCACGTGGACACTACTTAAGAGTTGTAGTCCTTATTTTCCTCATTTGCAAATGGGAAGAATAACGGTACTTATTTTTAAGACTGCTGGAACGATTAAGTGACATATATAAGTGGTCCATAAACACTTGTCGTTACTATTACTTACAACAACAGTATTACCAGCCATTTAAACTTCCAGTGCTGTTTAGAGCTTTTAGGATCAGAGAGAAGGCTGAAAGTCAGGAATGCCCTCAGTGTTTTTAGCCTCAGGGTCTTTTGTGTTAGGTCCTTACAGTTAAACAGGTGTGAATGTGCTTAATGTTCACACTTCAGGCGGGACCTCAACAGGAATGCCCTAGGTCACTCAAAAACAGGGGCCCTGGAGGATCCATGATATTGAGCCTCGTACTACTGCAGTGTGGGGTGGTGGTTGCCTCAGAAGACCTGAGTTCAGCTGGGCCTTTTCATTGTCTCCTCTCCCTAGTAGTACCTTTTACTATTCAATTGTCTCGCACACAAAACATGGAAAAAAAAAATCCACACCTCCAGTTTTGTGCTCGGGATCAGAAGCGAATAAATCTCTGTGAAAACTGTGAAGTGCCCTACAATTAAGTGCTGCAGCAGCAAGGGCACGCGAGCCCCTTCGTTTCCAGCTCCGGAGTGGCCCCTGTCTCCACCCATCTCCAGGCCAGTGAAGTGGGAAGGAGGAGTTCCGCCGGCCCCCGCCCCGCCGCCGCCTCTCCCCGCGCCCGCACTCGCGCTCGGGTCTCTGTCCCGCGCCCAGCCCCGGTGCGCTTCCCCGGCCAGGCTAGGCAGGGCACGGCGGGCGGGCCGGCAGGATGCAGGCCCCGCACAAGGAGCACCTGTACAAGCTGCTGGTGATCGGCGACCTGGGCGTGGGCAAGACCAGCATCATCAAGCGCTACGTGCACCAGAACTTCTCCTCGCACTACCGGGCCACCATCGGCGTGGACTTCGCGCTTAAGGTGCTCCACTGGGACCCGGAGACCGTGGTGCGTCTGCAGCTGTGGGACATCGCAGGTGAGCGCGGGAGGAGGGGCGCCGCGCAGTGTCCAGTCCCCGGCTACCACTTGCCGCCAAGCGTGAGATCCAGGTCGCCTAAGACACTTTTTGAGGTGGTTCGGAACTTTGTTTTCAAAGGAAAAAAAAAAAAAAGTTCCTTACTTGGGCTGAAACTCGAAGTGGAGCTTTGGGCTGTGGCTATCACTCCCTCACTGGCTTTCTCTCCACCCAGAGCAGGTGGCCGCGGGGTCCCAGAGGGAGACTAGTGCAGTTACATAGGGTTCTCCCTCTCATTTCGTTTTTTCTGGGTGCAGTGACTTGGCCCTGAATGCCCAGCCACAGAGGGAAGTCCCTAGCTGATTTAACAGGGGAACCTGGGACAGTCCCCGGCCAGCTCTAGTTAGCCCATTCCTGTTTTTAACAACTCACTTTATTCCAAATATCAACACCCTCTTTTTATATATCAAAAGCAAAATTGTCTCCCCATCCCTGTCTCTGTTTTTATTCTTCCTCTTTCTACCTTTCTGGCTCTGTGTAGTCTATCAAAAGGAGATTATGTATTTATTTTAAGACAACTTTTGGGAAAAGACCTATGACCTTAAACACAAGATTTTTTGATTTAGCCCTAAAGATTTCTTTGAGAGAACTGGAAAGTTAGAAGCATTTTTACAATGTTTGAAATCAGAATTTGACTCAGGGTTTGTAGCCAGAGTTAAGTAAAACAAAAAATGAGAGTGTAAAGTGCTTGTGTACTCCAAGACTTGAGTCCTCACACTGAGGCTGTTTGCAACTAGGGCATGCCCAACCTCTTATTACCACTCACCAACCTGCTCAGTGGCGTTGGACAAGTCCCTTCAATTCAACTGCATTCCTGTGAAGACGAAAGGGGTTAGGCAATAGCAAATCAGGAAACTTCCTACTTAGAAGTTTTAAAGTCCACTTCAATCTCACTTCATTGCTTGATTATTTCATGGTCTGTGTCACCAGGTTTCTTGATAATTCCTGGACCCAAGCTAGATGATGGTTTTTCAGAAACCACTTTTATTTCAACTTAGTGCATTTAACTGGAAACATTTTATCATGGCTTGAAGCGAGAACAAATGTAGAAAATTTTTGAAAGGGCTGGGGACTCTAGTGCCTCTTGGGCTGTCAGGTCTTAGGAGAAAGCCGTGGCATGTGGACAGATTCACGCGTTTGGAGTCTTTGGCAACTCTAGAAGCACACTGGTCATCAGAGTCTGGAAATGTCATCAGCTAATGTCTCATTGGGTTTTCATTTAAAAAATACCACTATAAGTTTGTGAAATTTGTTGCCACTTGTTTAGTGTCTGAAAACTCTTTTGACTGCCTAAAAAATCTCCAGTACTAGGGATTAGAAATAGCTTACTATTTAAAAGGGGGTGTAACTGTAATTTGTGCTTTTATTTCAAATCTGAGACATGTTGTATGTCTGTGTGTCTAAACGGGTGATAGAAGGGTATAGTGATTATGACCTCAGATTCCAGAGCTGACTGCCTCCACTGGAATCCCATTTTACTCCATATGTCCTATGCAACCTTTGGGAGGTACCTTAATCTCTTTGTTTCAGTTTCATTATCTATAAACAGGGAGGGTGTTTGTCCCCCAAAATGAAAGAGCACCCAACAAAGCTAGCTAAAGGCAAGAGTGCCTACTACCTAGGAGCTCATCAAAGATTATTACTATACATTTTTTGAGCATTTATAAATGCTAGGCAAGAGGAACGTGATATATTTATACAATTGATATAATTATATACATATATTGATTATAATCCTAATCAATTGTAATTCCTATATTGCACATATATTCTGTCCTTTAACACCCAGTCCTTTTTACAACATGAGGCAGTTTAACCCCCAAGCTTGCTGTTAGAAACAGTTTAACTCCCAAGCTTGGAAATGCTTCCTAAGCCATAGATCTGGACCCAAGTTGCAACACAGGCTGCAGTCATATAAGACTGTGTGAATAAAAGCCTGAAGAGTTTAGGAAAGTCAGTTGTAGACATACGGTGGTGTTCAGCCTCTCAGTTGGGGAGTTCTAATTCTCAGCACTAACCTGTCTTTGACAGCCTCAAGCTCAAAAGCCCTGTGGGCTGAGTCAGAGGTTGGTCAGCATGCAATGCTGTTTAGATGGAAGGGAGGCCATGGTTGGATGTTTCAAGATGCATAGGGGCCCTGTGAGTTATGAGTTTGTATAAAATCCAGCCTCAACTGTTTGCTCAGACTCTAGTTAGCTAAGTGTACCTTCTAGTACCTTCACGTCTCAACCTGTCTTCTTCCTTTATGCTCAGGTCCAGTGTTGTCTAACAAAGAATAGGCAGTGAAGGTTAGTGGGCCTAGTTTTGAGAGTGTTGGGGCTGTCAGTGAGGGGACTTGCTTTAGTTGGATAACATCCTAGTATCAGGTGTGCCTGCTGTGTCACTTAGGTGCTCTTTTGTTATTATTTTGATTCAGTGTTAAGTGGGGACTTATTTGTTTAAAAACTTCCTGTGAAATATGTCTATAGTCACTTTGATTATCCAGTCAGATTCTGCAGTTCTCCCAAAAGTAACGTTAGGGGCTTGTGAAACAAGATGATGGATGTGAAGCCCTGAGTTCAAACCCCAGTCCCACCAAAAAACCACACACACACACACACACACACACACTCACAGATCCACAACAAGATGATGGGATTTGGGCCACAAACTCCACAGAAACAGCAATCACCCTGGATCCCAGAGAGTGTGCCATAGAGCACAACTGGGCAGCTCTGTCTTCAGAAGCTCTTGGTGGAATCAAAGAAACTGAGTAACTTTGCCCAAGGCCACCCAGCTAATTGTGGGGAGCCAGGTTTGACCCGTTCTGTCTGACTTGGAGTCAAGCCATGTTCTTTAAATCTGCAGGCCTGTGATTGCCTAGCAGCTGTCAACCTGCCATACCTTGTCTTTCCTATTTCTAACTGATTTTTTGGATATTATTCAGTACCACAATGTAGAAAATGGAAAGAAACTAATTAAAATCTTGTTTCAAAAATTTAATTCTTGAATATGATGTGAATTTGTAGGGAGTTTTCTCTTTTTAATATAGACTAATCAGAAAAAAAGAAAGCAAAAGGTTCACACTTGAGCCTTTCCTTTCTTAATACTCTCCAAGTTATTAAGTACTTGATAATAGAGTACTTCAGACGTATTCTAAATACATTGAATTATAGATACTAAAAAAAAGTAAAACACTTGATACTGGGCAAGCCATGAAACCTTGCTGAACCCCAGTTGCTCCCCCTATAGAATGACAATTATTTTAGTTTCCTTGATATCACATATTTGTAAGATGTTATCTCTTGCAGCCTCTATCAGCTTTGATATCATAGTCTCACTGTGCCTGGGGGGGAGAGGGGGAGGTGGTACATGACAGTTTATTTCAGTTTCCTTATTCACCAGCCCTGTGACATGTGCAAGGTACTTCCCCTTGATGCCTCATTTTTCTATCTATAACATGGGATCACAACAGTACATGCATCTCTTAGAACTCTTATGAGAATGAATGAGTTAATTCATGGACACTAGTACCTGACATGTAATAAATGACTCTTGCTGTGCAAATCATCGTTACTACCAACTACTGTAATGTACATTTTCCTGCTTGATCTTTCTAGCATCACTGAGGGTGTAGACAGATAAGATACTGTAAAATCTATTTTATATGAGAAATGATCAAGAATCAGAAAATTAAGGGACTTTGCCAGGTTGAGAAGTAGTGGAGACGAATAGGAAGAGTATATTTGTTTAAGTGTGTACATCAAAGAGAGAGAGAGAGAAGAGAACAGGAGGGGAGAGGAGTAGAAGAGGAAGGGGAGGATAGAGGAAGGGGAAGGGGACAGGAAGAGATGAGAAGAGAAGAGGAGAGAGAGAGAGAACCAAATCTGTAGTCAGTCATCAGAAAAAGCAGCTCATGACTGGCACCAGAGGCTCACACCTGTAATCCTAGCTACTCAGGAGGCAGACATTACGAGGCTTGCTGTTCAAAGCCAGCCCTGGCAAATAGTTCATGAGACCCTATCTTGAGAAACTCCTTCACAAAAAAATGGCTGGTGGAGTGGCTTAAGGTATACACCCTGAGTTCAAGCCCCAGTACCATGCACACACACACACACACACACACACACACACATGCACACACACACACACACACACACAAAATCTCCAAATTTAACAAATATATGCAGAGCAAATTGCATTTGCAAATACTTTTGAGAGTGCAACTTCACCATGTAAAAGTTTCACTGCAGGATTCTACTGAATAACAAATGCCTCTTAACAAGAGCCAACTTACAATAACAATATTTCTATGCAGGATGTTTCTATACTAACTTTCTCCACCTAAGTCATGTGACAAGGAAGTACAGGAGTAACATGACAAATGAGCTAGGCCCAGAGTCAGGAGTCCTTGGGCAGCTAGCTGACTCTTAATAGGAGGACCTGTGACATCATTTGAGTCACAATTGTTTGACAGTTTTCAAAGCGTTTTCAAATGGTAAAACTCAACTGAAGGAAAGGTTTGGACTTCAGCATTTCTTCAGTACCTATGTCTAAAAGTAATTCTCTAATGCTCTTTATAGTAGTGGTCTTAAATGTCAAGGCAATAGGTATAGAAATGTAGCAAAAGCTAACTTTCACACCTAGGGTGTCAAATTAAAAAATTGCAACTCAAATCTTGGCCCTTCTCTACTGGGCAGTTTCTTGCCTTGTTTCTAGCCTGGCTAATTACAGAGTTTTCTGATTACTATGTGGAATAACATGCTATACGCTTACAGGTAAACAATGTGTATAGTGAACAAAAATGGTGAACTTTTTTTTTATTATTGTTTTATTATTCATATGTGCATACAATGCTTGGGTCATTCCTCCCCCCTGAAATGGTGAACTTTCAAAGTTGGGCAAGACCTTGGGGCCTTTTTGCAGGGCAGTTATTTGCGTCTATTACAGGTACATGGCAGTAAGTGTGTGGGACAGTACCA